CACAGCTCCTACGCCCCGAGAATCTCAGTTCGCACACCTCCAGCCAAATGTTTTTCTTGCTTCATAATATTTTTGGAGACATAGCTGCCATAGGAATTATTCCAGTTATAACAACTTCCTGCCACTCTAACCATTTTTACACAAGCCGGGCCCTTATCAGGAGCTCTGTGGTGTCTAGCATTGCAGCCCTATTCCACGGTGATGTGGTAATGTCTTTGGGGGTATGTAAGTATGAATCCTGCTACAGGCTATATCATGACAGGTCATGTGCTCTACAAGAGAAGACTTCCTGATTTTTCTAGATGACACTAGTATTATTATTATGAAGTTTATATCTCTAACTGATTTCACATTAATTGTACTTGCTCATCCCTATGATATGTCTGAAAGACATTTTCTGTTGTTAAAGCATAGACTTTGATGAAAAGCCCATAACGTAGTCAAGCATCTCAGATCACATGCAGCAGTGAGTGGATAAGGATCCATCACCCACATGTTTGAGATTCAAAGCTTGGCCCGCTAAGCCACCTATATCATCCTGTAAATAGAACTGCATAATCAGAGACAATCTTTGTCCTTGCAATCCTGATTTTAAAATATGTAATAGAATTTTCATTCTTGATTTAAAATGTAATTTTTCATTAACATTTTAGACATAAAATCTTCAGGAAGCTACTACAAAGCTACTGGAACTCATGAGTTTTAGAAAGATTGCAGGATACGAAGACAATATACAAAAAATGGTATACTATCAATGGGCAACGAAGACAAACATTAAAACGCTATCATTTACATTAACACCATGAACATGAAATTCTTAGATACTATCAATGTGAACCACTCATATGCTTGAAACTACAAATCACTCTTGAAAAAATCAAAGGAGACCAAATAGAGACATATATTGTGTTTATTAACACAAAGACTAAATATTGTTGAAATATCAGTTCTCCACAAACTGATACAGAGATTCCACAAATCCAAATCAAAAACCCTTTAGGATTTTTAAAATAAATATCGATAAACTGTTTGTAAAAGTTATACGTAAAGTCAGAGGCACTAGAATAGCCAAAGCAGACAAAGAAGAACAAAGTTAAAGAACTCAGACTATTGCATTCCAGGACTTAACCTAAGTAATCAAGGGAGTGTCACACTGATGAAAGAACAGACACATAGATAAATGGGGGCAGAAGAGAGAGTCTAGAAATAGACTTACACATACATGGTCAAAGGCAATTCAGTAAAGACAGTATAGTTTTTTCAATATTGATCTGAAATGATGGGACATTGATATGCAAAAAGTAAATCTTGACTCATAACTTGTACTTTCTACAAAAATGAACTAAAAATGGGTCATAGACCTAAATATAAAACACAAACCTATGAAATTTCCAGAAGAAAACATAGGGTAAATAGTTGTGACCTTATGTTAGCTAAAGATTTCTTAGATATGACATTAAAAGCGTAAATAAAAATAGGTAAAATTGGATTTCAGAAAAATGAAAAACTTTTGTTCTGTGAAAGACACTGTTAAGTGACTGAAAATGCAAGCTACAGCCTGGCAGAAAATATTTACAAAACACCTTTCTGACAAAGGACTCATATCTAGGACATATCCAAACTCTCAAAACTCAAATAATAAGAAAAACAATACAATTAAAAATGGTCTAAAGAGTTGAATACATCTTTTATAAAAGAAGAGGTATGGATGGTAAATAAGCACATGTTCAATGTTGTTAGTCATTAAGAAAGTGCAAATGAGTTAATACCAGACACCTATTAAAATGTCTAAAAGCAAAACAAAAACTGACAATACGAAGATGTGGAGCAGTAAGGACTCTCATACACTGTCAGTGGGAGTACAAGATGTATTTCATTTTGGAAAAATTTAGTGGTTCATTAAAAAGTTAAAATAAACTTACCATATAGACCCCATGATCCCATTCCTAGGATTTTACATCAAAGAAATGAAAACTTAAATGCTCATACAAAAACTTGAATATGAACGTTAAGAGTAGGTTTATAATCACCCAAAGTGGCAACAACCCAAATGTTCTTCAACTGGCAAACGGATAAACAAATGTAGGACATCCATACAATGGAAGACTATTCAGAAATAGAAAGCAATGAACTATTAAAACACATAGCAACATAAATGACTTTTTATTATTTTATAACAAGTGAAAGAAGCCATATCAAAAAGGCTACATGCTGTTTGATTTCATTTGTATGATATTTTGGCAAACTACAGGTACAAAAAACAAATCAGTCGTTGCCAGAATTTGGGAGTAGGAGTAGAAGCTGCTAACAAGAGGGGGGGATTTTTGGGAGTGATGAAAGTGTTTTATATCTTTTTTTTTTCTTTTTTCTTTTTTGAGACAGAGTCCTGCTCTATTACCTAGGCTGGAGTGCAATGGCACAACCTTGGCTCACTGCAACCTCTGCCTCTTGGGCCCAAGCAATCCTTCCATCCCAGCCTCCCAAGTAGCTGGAACTACAGATATGTGCCACCATGCCTAGCTAATGTTTGTATTTTTGGTAGGGATCATGTATCACCATGTTGCCCAGGCTGGTCTCAAACTCCTGGGCCCAAGAGATCCATCCAACTCAGCCTCCCACAGTGTTGGGATTACAGGCATGAGCCACCACACCTGGTCTGCTCTACATCTTGAGTGTGATGGTGGTTATAACAACTTGGAGGCATTTGTCAAAACTCAAAGACCTATTCACTGAAAATAGTCAATTTTACTATATATATATATATATATGCATTAGTCCATTTTCACACTGCTGATAAAGGCATGCCCCAGACTGGGAAGAAAAAGAGATTTAATTGGACTTACAGTTCCACATGGCTGGGGAGGTCTCAGAATCATGGCGGTAGGCAAAAGGCCCTTCTTACATGGTGGTGACAAGAGAAAATGAGGAAGATGCAAAAGCAGAAAGACCTGATAAAACCATCAGATCTCGTGAGACATATTCACTACCATGAGAACAGTATGAAGGAAACTGCCCCCATGATTCAAAGTATCTCCCACGGGGTCCCTCCCATAACACGTGGGAATTATGGGAATACAATTCAAGATAAGATTTGGGTGGGGACACAGAGCCAAACCATATTAATATGTTATACCTCAGCTGGTCTCTGTGGCTCATACCTGTAATCCCAGCACTTTGGGAGGCTGAGGCGAGTGGATCACTTGAGGCCAGGAGGAGTTTGAGACCAGCCTGGCCAACATGGTGAAACCACGTCTCTACTAAAAATACAAAAATTAGCCAGGTGTGGTGGCGTGTGCCTGTACTCCCAGCTACTCCAGAGGCTGTGGCAGGAACCATTCAAACCCAGGAGGCCAAGGCTGCAGTGAACTGAGATTGCACTACTGCACTTCAGCCTGGGCGACAGAGCAAGACTCTGTCTCAAAAAAAAAAAAAAAAAAGTTATACCTCAACTTAATGAAAACATAAATTTCAAAAATTCAATGGGAAAAAGATAAGTAATATATAATTTTTCAAATATTTAAAAAAGCTAACTAGCAAAAAAATACACGGTTAAAACTGACAGAGAAAACTCAGGACGAAGTGCTGGCTGCAAGGTTCTGAGTAGAGTGAATGCTTGTGAGGAGGAATCTGCTCTTGCTCGGTGTGTACCTTAGACATGCAGAAGATGAAACACTGCTTTTCCAATTCATTACCTTTACAGAATCACAACCAAATCATCCATTCACTTCGTAAGTTTTCATAAATGGCATTTTGAGTTTGTTTGTTTTCTCATCTAAATAGCTTGGTCCTGTCATTTATGATTTGAAGAGTTCTTTGCTCTTTCACCCCCGTAAGCAAACCCATAGTATTATTTTCTTGAACATTCAGAGATCATTTCTTCACACAAATCTATTTTCTCTTCATATAGAAAACACAGAGTGACTGGTTTGTGACACAAAAATATATATGTATATATATGTCTGAAGATTCAGCAAGCCTAGGATTAGGTAATTTACACACTATTTAACGTGCGCTGATCTCTCCTGTCTTCATAAGTTTTGCTAACCATTACTTTCCCTTCAAACTACTACTTTATCTATGTCAAATGCAGAATATACTAGAAAGAGCACTAGATTTAGCATTAGGAGTACTGTTTTAAGGTCATTTTGGCCCTAAACTAGCTGTATGGCCTTGGTAAAATGACTCATCTCCCATAACTAATCCTTATCTTCAGCTCTGACCTCTCTTCAGGGCTTTAGTCATGAAACTTCAAATTCCTACAGACACATACCACCTCTCAGGCAGCATTTAATTCTTCGGGAATGTAGCTTCTCCTGGATCTTTTATTATTACCGAAATTATAATTGTTATTTGTTCAGGTACTCATACCTCATTTCTTCAACTGAGTGTCTTCAACAAAATTATACGTTGTTTTAAGGGGAAGAAATTATCCATATATACATCTTTGTCTCCTTACACTATCTATCGTAAAATAGTAGCTTAAATAGGCCAGTTTGTTGCTACAATTACTTGAGTTTACACATACCAGTTTGAGGAGATAATCACTTGACTTAGCAAAAAATACAGCCAAGTTTGACATATTCCCAGTTTTTCAGAGTCTTCCCTGACCACACATGCTGAGGCTGCTCATGCTGCTTCCCTCCACTGACCCATCCACGCCCCCCAATCACTGTCTACATTCCCATGTTGTTTTAGCTTATCCACGGCATTTACACTCTCTGAAATAACATTTCCCCCTCCTTCTTTCTTTCTCTCACTCTCTCTCTCTCCTTTCTCTATCTTTTTCCTAATCTATTGTCCAAAGGCCGCTACTAGGATTTAAGCTCCATGAAAACACAAACTGATTATGCTCATTAAAAGTAGTACATTTAGAACCTGCACCCGGGTCAGGCACACGGTAGGCACTCAATGAATACCTGCCGAATAGCTGAACTCGCCCTAGTGATGCCTGTTGTAGACTGAAGAGTGGAAAGAAACAAAAAATACTTCACATGGTTTACCTGCAAAGAGGTTCTACAAGGTCCTTTTCAAGAAAATCATGATCATTCTTGACAGCCACAATGTTGATGGGAAACTGTGAATCTGCGAGAGAGAAAGAGAGGCAAAGAAGTTGATGTACTTTGTTTTATCCGAACGAGCACCAACATATTCAGACCTTCAAGGTCTGTAAAAGCCACTGATTTTAATAGCAGTGACTGCCCATCGTCATTGTTGGAAATGTTTAAGAGAGCGAACAATTGCTATCACTGTAAATGCTTTTAGGAGTACAATATAAGTGCAAAATATGAGGATAGTCAAGTGCTTGACCTTGGATGGGAGTGAACACTAAGTGCCTGCGTTTTTCTAGCTCACCCTTATCACAGTCATATGCAGATGTGGCCTCAGAGAAGAGCTTTTGCACTTTCACCATCCACCTAACATGTAGGTTACTCGCATCTGTCTTGATGTTTCATGAAATACTTAATTTGGCAGATTGTTTTTCCTTCAAAAAGGAAATTTCCAAAAATACCCAAAGTTCTATCATCTGAAAATTTTTTTTAGTAGCAAAATCTTTATCACTCTGGAGTATCAGCAAACTACTCAACTTGATTCTATCCAAAAAGAATAATTCGAACACTATTTCTCTCCGACAGACAATTCATGCCAGCTTTGAAGGTCACAGGCAATATTTAGAACATAGTGTTAATTCTGGGTACCTCGTTCATGGAGGTAGCAATCTGCAGCTCATTGGAATAGAGGGCATAGCCAAGTCTAACAATGCTGGGTCACTATCATTGTCTTGCCACTTTTTCCTTTATCTCATCTTATATTTTGTGCTGTCTACACCTTGCCAATCACGATAAATCTAAGGGTATCTAAATCTTAGCGTGAGTTGGAAACAGAAATAATTCCCCGTCTGGTGGAAAAAGTCATGTGAGTGACTTGCAGATGGTTCCAGAATGAAGCTGTCTTGCTCGACTAGTGAGGGAGGGAGGGAGACACTTGTGATTTTTTTCATGGAAGGCTGCCTCTTGCCAGCTGTGCTCCTTCCTGGGGTCTGGTTTGAGGCTCCTCTCTCCTCCTGGGCTCTGGCACTCTCTTCCGTGGCCTATCCCTTTGGGATCACGGTAGTGACAGCTGTGCCACTACAAGCCCTGGGCTCTTGCACTGTGCACTGTTCCTCACGGCCACCCCCTGTCCTGCCTGCACCTTTGTAATGAGCACTGTTAGAAATAAAACCTCTGCCAATGACCTTGAGCCTGCCATCTGCTCACTGTTGGGGTCCCTACTAGTTCACTACTAGATAAGGACAATCCGAGAAGTAGTTAAAGTCTTGGTTATAATTTTAGATATAAGGAACATGAGTATGTCTGTTAACTCAATTAAAGAATCAATGAAAAGGCTGGGCGGTGGCTCATGCCTGTAATCTCAGCACTTTGGGAGGCCAAGGTGGGCAAATCACTTGAGGTCAGCAGTTCGAGACCAGCCTGACCAACATGGTGAAACCCCATCTCTACTAAAAATACAAAAATTAGCCAGGCGTTGTGGTGCGTGCCTGTAATCTCAACTACTGGGGAGGCTGAAGCAGGAAATTGCAGGAGGCAGAGGTTGCAGCAAGTGGAGATTGCACCACTGCACTCCAGCCTGGGTGGCAGAGGCAGATTCTATCTCAAAAAAAAAAAAAAAAAAAAAAAAAAAAATCAATGAAAGGAAGTATAATGCTAGCAATAAAACACCTTACCTAAAACTCAGAAGAATAACATCTGATTCATGTTATATCTTCACATTTTTCATATAAACAGAATTAAAGAGAAATCTCAGGACAGTTAATTTTGTGACTTCTAGGAAGTTTATTAACAGTGAATTCATTGTGATTTCAAGAAAAGTGAGAGTAGTAAAGGAAAAACAAGGAGAAAAAGAAGAAAGTGCAGAAAAGCTGCTGATGGCAGAATGCTGGAAAGAAAACACTGAGTTGGGGTTTGTGGTAAAGAGATGGGAATTAGTAGTGGGAAGCAGAAAGTAAAGTGGGCCTGGGAAGTGATACTCATTTCTAAATCAGTATCAGGATAACCCCTGGGCACAGCAAAAAGGCTGAGGGAAAAATACAGCGAAACGAAATGGGCGAGAAAAAAATCTGGAAGTCAAAACACACCACAGGATACGTGTGGTTCATTTCAGATTTATTCTCTGTGTAAGAGCGAAGGGAAGGGCTGACGTACCCTCATATAACTGCGCGTATTGCGGGAACCCGGCAGCACGGAGCCAGTCACAGGCTTCTTTCGCCTCAATTTCTGAAAAACACAAGAGAGAGAAAATTGAGTTCCACAGCCGCACCCTAGTACTCTGTCTTCTTAATCATGGATACACTGGTGAGCTTTGTGCAAGTTATTACAAAGCAAAATTGTTCCAGGTAAGTCTGCATAAGTAGGCTTACCCAGGAGTGGGTGGAAAACGAGCGAGTAATACAAAGGTCCTTGTTATGTGTCTACTAAGATAATCTTCCATGTAGATCCATAAGTATGTGTATAATGACAAAACCACAGATAATAGAACACAAAGGCTGAGTCTCAGGCAGGGAAAAATGTCTTATTTATACACCAGGGAACCAGGGCACTAGGGGAAAAGAGGACATTCTTCTTTACAATTCTTTTTTTTTTTTAATGGATTTTTTTTTTTTTAAGTTCCAAATATTAGGCTAAAAATGTTTATTCAATATTCCTTTATTCTTTCACTCTTGGGATAATTTTAAGAAAGACTACAACTGGATTGCCTATGAAAATGTATTTTCTCATGAAAAAAGGTATTACAAAAATCCAATGTATTATTGTTTTAAAATTTTCACTAATAGCCTTAATTCCCCATGCATTATAACAAGATGTTCATTAATCAAGCACACTGGAATGATTTCAAGCTGTAGAGTGCGGCATAGAAGAGGAAAGTTGATTATTTGGAATTGAGACTTCAGTTTGATGGGCCTTCCAGAACCTCTGAGGGCCAAGCCCAAGAGGTTGATATGTCCCTTGGGCGACCATTTTTGGTGTGGATGCACCAACAGCCCACCAGACCACCTGCCTGGGGAAGCTGTGGAGTGAGATGGGAGGAGTCTACAGTATGTGAACCAGGTCACTTTTTGACCTTGTGAATCCTGGATCATTTCCCAACCACAACTCTCTTAGACAAATATGAATCCAAGGGGAAAGAAGTTCATCTGTTGAAAGTCCAGTTTCTCCAAACAAAATTAAACAGCCTATTATCACAAGTCTTTACCAAGGCCCTTTCCTCCACTGTTAGGATGGGTCCCTGTCAGGTCATTGTATTTCCATTTACTATGATGTTAATTTTTCCCCGTAGCCAAAGCTGGAGTCTACAGGGTGTTCTTGGGATCGCTGCACAGAAATGATCTATGCTAACATCACCCTGGGCCTGCGATTGTACCTCAACATTGAAAGTTCGGTGTCTGTGCAGTAAGATGTTTGATGTGCCAGAGCTATTTGGTATATGTTAGGAAAATAGACCAAAGGCCAGATCTTACTCAGGCATCACCAGGAAGAGCAAAACCCTACTGCCTAGTCCCACAGATCTGCTTAAATCTAGATTGAACTTCGTCATTAAATCCAGGGAAACAGAGCCTGTGGCGGCTCCTACCCCGGAATGCCTGCCTCTTTTGACATCCTCTAATCTACTGTTACTCCACGGACTGACAATTTCCAAAGCTTGAGATTTGTCTCTGGTGTGAGGATTTTCCACTTAAGTGTGACCAGCATGTTCCTACCATGTACCCATTCCTGCCATGGACACATGGTTCAGAAACATCCAGGGAACCAAGCTGGAAAGAAAAGCTATTGAAAGTATTTCTATCAGAAAAGGAGTTTCTGAGATCCACAAATGCTGTTCAAAACAGAGCTTCACTGAATTGTGCTGCATGGGCTAACGTGGGCTTTCCTCTGGGAAGGTACAAAAGGCAATTATTGCATTGCTCAAAAGTTCTATTTAGTACCCAATTGAGAGTCTGTATGTGAAGGTTTCTACTTTGATAACCACACAAATATTTCAGAGGAAATAGGAAAACACACTTTCTATCTGTAACGTGTGGAAAATGTGGTGAGTTGCTACTGAGTCATGGATAAAGTGCTGCCTAATAGATTTTCAAGCTTCAGATTTGCTTCCCTCTTCCATATAATACAGTGGGTAGTAACGAGAAAACACCTAATTTCTAGACATGCTCTAAACCTAATTATGAGTCAGCAAGTCTTGGAGAGAAGCACAGAATACTGTATTTTCTCTTGGCACTACATGAATCTTATGTCTTTTTATGTTTCATTATTACCTTTACTACAATCAAAATGTAGTGTTCATCAAGAGAGTCCCAGAGAGCCAGGCCATGAAGAACAAATGGGGAAGACCTGCAAGACAGGGGCTCTGCAGCCTAGAAAGCTCAAAGACAGACAGTGGGAAGTGATCTATGAAAGAGTTTGCACCCCTCCAGTCCAGGGAATGTGGTGAGCTCAGACCCTGAAGATGAAAAGGATAACTTGGTGGAGAAGAAGTGGGCAGCCAGGAATCCTTCTAGAAAACTCCCTTTGGAACATCATGTGTTTTCACTAATTTGTGGGGTCTAAAAATCAAAATAATTGAACCCATGGACATAGAGAGTAGAAGAATGGTTACCAGAGGCTGGGAAGGGTAGTGGGGGCTGGGGGGAGGTGGGGATGGTTAATGGGTATACAAAAAATTAGAAAGAATGAGTAAGACCTACTATATGATAGCATAACAGGGTGACTATAGTAATAACTTATTTGTACATTTTTAAATAACTAAAAGAGTATAATTGGATTGTTTGTAACATAAAGAATAAATGCCCAAGGGGATGAATACCCCATTCTCCATGACGTAATGAGTTCACATTGCATGCCAGTATCAAAATATCTCATGTACCCCATAAATATATACATACACCTACTATGTCCCCACAAAAATTAAAAATTTTTAAATTTTAGAAACAACACTCCTTTTGGAACTTAAAATTCTGGTTGGACAGTGGGATGGGGCTGAAGCTAGCCAGGGAAATTTTATTTAAAAGGCTCCTCAGATAATAACCGCATTTGGTTTTTTATGACAGCAACATGGATAATGAACTGAAATCCTATCCAGATACAAACATGAATAACCAAATTTTAACCAGAACCCAGATAAATCAATCATTCAAATAAGCTGTTTTTTTTTTTTTTTTTTTTTTTTTTTTTTTACTGGGCCAGCACTTAATGCTTTTAGGCCCCAGGGTCAAATGATAACAAAACTGCAGGGAGTAAATATCATAAATTAGAAGCAGCCCCGTGCCAGCCATGGTGGGTGGCTCCTCCTGTAGCATCACTTCCTATACCCAACTTCCCATTCTATTTGCCCAATGTCTCAAACGCACACCCTCATTTCATATTCCCCCACCCTAGGTGCAGTCCCAACATCCTGATACCTCAGTGTAAGAACAAAGTCAACTCTCATTTACCAGCTAGTAACAAAACAAACAAAATAATCTGGCATAATTCACCCCTATCAAATCTGAGTTTGCCCATCCAATTGAGGTGGGGGGGATAAAAAAAGCCTTACAATTTTTATTAATTCTCCATGGTCCCTACTAATACCAACCAGCCAAATACTAATGCTTTTTCCCCAGGCCCTTCCAGTGGCCAAAATGACTGTGAGAATTAAAAAGGAATCATTATTGCCAGTGCCATCATTTCATAAAGATCTACCTAATGAGATTTCAATGACATTTGAGGAGAAAAGTGTGAAAATCTCTTTTTTTATGGTGCTCGTGCTAGCCAGCATAATATTATGTAAAAGCATGAAGGGCTATTAAAATCACATTTTGACAGTTTTATTTGTTAACAATTTGCTACCCTTACCTGCCCCTGTAGCAGCTCCAGGGCTGCAAGGCAAAGGATCAGCTCACTGCAACTCTCTCATGGAAAACCTGAGTGTGGAGTGAAACCAGAGAGTGGCACCGATCTCTATGGAGGTTACTGTGCTACTTTGCTGGTGAAAATCCAATCCATTCAATCATTGGTATTATGAAAGGATTTCAGTGGAATTTTTCTAACAATTCTATGCAATAATTATTTCATTTTATTCTCTAGCAGGTATCTATTTTTGCCTGTCCAACATCCTTCTCTACATCTTCTGATAACAGAACCTCTTTCTGCAAGGAGCCTCTTCTATATGGTTTATGTAGGGCTGATGCCTCTTGCCTCCAATTACACACCCTAGTCCTGTCACCACCACCCACATAAGGTGACCTGATTCTTAAGAGCACTTCATCCCTGTTAGTCTAAGGAGACTGAGGAGCTTTGGTACCTTAAACCAACAGTCATTGGCGGGGTGCTGAAATCAACTGGTTGAAAAGGGAGATATCCAGTGTTTCCACTGGTAGCCTGGTCTAGCAAACCTTTTCACTGGTTTACTCAGTAAGTTCAGTGGATGGTGTGGTGCTATACATGCTCTTCAGTCATATATCTGCAACTCCACTTAAGGCAAAGTCACTGGCTTTGCTTCAGTTGCCTTATACATGCTTAGAGCATGATGTGACCACTATCCTCAGACAGACCCAGCAGAGGGAAGCTCTCGCTAGCACCTGGGGGGCACCCACTGCCATGGGTATGAGAACAAAGGCACCGTGAAAACAAACCATGGCTGACGTGGGTTTTCACAACATATTATTATGCTTCTTAATTATACATGCTCAATATTGAAAACGTACTAATAGAGAAAGTCACAATGAATGAAAAAAGTCAACTCTTGCTCCATTATGAACACCTAATTTTATATGTTATCTGTCAAAACAGTACTATGGTAATATCTTTGGTTGACTGCTTTTTTCACATAAGAATACATTGCAAATATTTTCTCATATAATGATATTATTTGTAAAAAATGGGAAATTTACTTTGTTTCGAGAATGATACTTATTTTGTAAAGATTTGATTTTTGAATACTGCCAATTGCATTTCCCTGTAGGGAGATTATAACATCAAGGTAGTCAAGAGAAAATAGTTCAACAGGACCTCACCAATGTAGACGGATGGTGGAGAAGGCTGGAAGTCTATGGGAGTTAAAAGAGATTTACCAACTGTTTATTTAATGTAGTCTCCTAGCTACAGACAGTCTATGGACAGGGCTCTGTAGGACCTCAGTCAAGTCAGGAAACATAGTGAGCACAGCAAATTTGCTGTCCAGGTTTGCAGGCCTCATCTCACGTTACAACCTCATTGTATTTTTAAGCTGGTGTCTCTAGCAT